TATCTGAAGTGAAGTAGCGCAGAGGCAGTCGCGCCACTGCCTCTGCACCACTACATTGAACACGATTCGTGACGCGACGAGTTAGCATATTAAGAGACGGGTAACGCCTGAGTTGCGAATAAAATTCTTTGTAATTTGAGTACTGTAGAACTTTACGACAAAGGGCTGTAATTTTGGCTTGCGGCTAGCGCCGAAGGAGCAACGAGTCGGGTAAGCAGCGAAGATTTACGGACGGACTTGAATTTACTTTTACGATTGAAGTAGTTTGCACAATATAAGTGGTTCGCACGACAGATGCAGCACACACAATCGATGGAGGCAGCCGGAGAATACAAATAATTTGGAAAGGTAGAAGTAGTTTGCGTGGGTACTTCGTACAACAGAAGTACTTTACACAATAGACACCTACACGATAGGCAACTTGCACAACTGATACCGGCTTCCACAAACGAGGAAACGTACGAGACAAATAAAACTTTTCCGGAAGAAGCGATGGCTCTAAGCATGTGCGCCATAACATTACGGTAGAACAAATAGTTTCTTCTGGTTACTATGGTGCTTTTCGTTGTTGCAGACTACTACGAGCCGTAAACCAAACCTTCACGAACTGTAATATCGAAAAGATATCATTTTAGTACAAGCTGTGTTAATTACACAATGGGCCGGAATGTTCGTTTCATGGACCTGCGTCCTTTGTCTTCATACAACCGCCGGCGCGGCAGCTGCGCGGCGCGGGGCGTGGACAATGGCGGATAATGGCAATAAATTAGGGAGGCGTATCGCGGTTCGCCGCCGCAGAGCACTGGAGCCGCTCTAAATCAGCCGGTTCATTTCGCACGAGCGAATTTGCGAACAGCTCGTTTCAGATTGCACTTACTGGTATATCCATTATTTGACATAATTCCAACTCCATTTAGGCAACCAAGTGTTGTTATGTGACATTAAAACGTTTATGTTACGTAAGGGACGCTGTCGTCCCAAGCATTTGTCTATACTGACCCTGCGACCCGCCAAGCTCGTTAGTGCGGCCCGAAACCCTATGATTAGGAAGGTCCTTTTTAAAACTACGCCGCTCTAAGATATTACTTAAGATTTTAAGCGAGATGCGCAAGAACATTCATTCAGACAACAAATTACCTCGTCGTCAGTTTCCATCAGGTAAGGTGGAGGTCATATGCGCTCTTACTTTTTGATAAAAAAAAAGAAAATCCCTGGCACATAGAAAAAAATTATAACACAATTAGTTGCACTTGGTTTTGATTACGCATGCTTATTAGATGAATTTATCGAGTTTTGGAACGATATGCAATACGAATATGGAAGCCACTTTAAAGAAAAGCGAGAGAGAAAAGAGTATATAACCAACTTGAAATTTGTGCCTGAGAAAAACATGACTTTAAAAAATGTACCTACTTGCTGCTCACGTTATTTGATCAACTATCTTTGTGAATGATCGTACTTCAAAAAGAAATATGCGAAATACGTATATGGAAGTCACGTTTTGATATTAATATTTAGGTTTTGTGTTTTATTTATTGATATACGGGGAGTAAATGTAAAACCAAGAAAAAAGGAAAGAAGGAAAAAAGTATGAGTATAGCTTGTTCAAGTGTATAAGCATATAAGCACGACCTGAACGTTGTTGTGTATCTTTTTATAATCAGTACTAAGTGACAGGACGAACAAGTCGTGCGTCAATTCCCCCGCAGGAGCGAAGGGCGATGACGTCAATGCAAGACAATATCTTCTTCGCCTATTCTTTCTACCTTCGTCGTTGCATGACAAATCAAGGTAATGGGAGTCGAGGGCCTGCAACATAAATTGCGAAATGTGTTTGTCATTTGTTCGCTCTGTAATATGCAATTGATTCTGCTAATAAATCCTTAGCACATGGGATGGTGATAATACCTATCTGCTACATGTAAATAGCATTAATATTCACTGAGCCATGCTAATGATACTGCAGATAACACAAGGACGCAAAACAGCGAGACCGCCCGCCCCTAAGTTTCGCCGGATCTGCGAAAGCTACCGGTAATACCGGCACAGCTCCCGGAAACAATGGTTACTGAAGATGTGTTGTTTCCGCTGTTAAATTGTTTATCCTAATATTATCTATGAGCGACATTTTGCGGCGGTCATAATCGTTGGTATTTCAAAATAATGGAAGGCTTTCTCATGCAGGGTTCTTTCTACCGTGAATAACTATCTACTTGTGAATTTATACGTAACTTGATGGAACAGATGGCTCAGGTTTGTATTAGATGTTGAAAACAAAATGTGCGAATGTCGAAAGTTGTGAAACAAAAGTTGTTTGCGAACATGAACATTATATAGGTACCAACTCGGTGTTCTTGAAATATGCTGCGGCTTGTGTAATAAATGCCAATTCCCTTTGCGCTCGACAAAGTAATTGGCATCTCGATGATACTAAGCTTGGGTCTAGGCTTACCCTTTATTTGAAATGTTATTATCCAATGTTGTTGAAGAGCTAAAACTTTATCACTATCATACGGTGAGGAAATGGCTAAGCTGGTTTTGGGATGAAATGAATTGAAATTGTGTATTATTATTTGCAAGTTCTTGTAACCAACCATGCATCTGTAAATTTGATCCCACGATACCTACTCGTAAAAATTTACTTATGTTGCAAAGAAAAACAACAATAAACATTCAAAATGACGTAAATCATTATAAGGTAGTGTAAAATTATTAACACAAAAATTGAAACATTCTTCGATGGCGTTTGTAAGATTAAACATATTGTAACGAAATACACACAGCGGTACCTTTAGCAGAACACTAATAAAATCCTCAAAATATTGCAGTGTTTTTCAAAACTCTAGTCGGCCATATTACCTACTATGAAATAAAATGTAATTTGCTTGTGATGGTTTATTTCTTCAGTCAGTGTACAAAAGTGAAAAAGACCCGATACAAAACATTCTGCGCTTATTTATACAAATTTCTTCCCGCCAAAACCGCCAAACATCATCGAGGAATAGCTGTTTAAGCGGTATTGGCTATGATCAACAATAATATGAAAAGATGACAACAGATGGCCGACTACAAGCAAAGCCTATAGTTACGATACAGTCTATGGCATTAAGAAACATCAATTGGCAAGACCGATATAAAAGTAACATGTCATCTGTAATTCAAATTTCTCAACAATAAGAACTTTAACTATAATACTTAAATTTGTTGTGAAAAGGTATAACGAATTCTATGTAACAGTTTGTAAAAGTGATACATTTCAAAAACCACATTTGTTCGAGTATGATACAATATACAATGTAGTATGCAAAAAACGACGTGGTCATGATTGCAACCTAACACTACAAGTTTATTTTGAAAATAAAAATTAATCGACTGACATTTTTTTCATTGATTTGTTTTAATTTCCTACTAATAGAGGTTTTTTAAAATAGACAACTACCGTGGGACTCGGACATTTTATCTAAGAAATGGTACAGAATCACTCGTTGGTGCAAATGCCGAAGGCGAAAGAGAAATGAATAATATAAAAGGGACGCCTTATTGCTGAGTGGCGCTCCTTCCCATACAATACCCCCGAATCATTAATTCCTGTGTCGCACTTTACCGTAAATAGCCATTTTTCTATCCACTTTCTGATCAATACAATTATAATATATGTACACATACTTTTTTAAGAATCAATATAGTGATAAAAACGCAGCTGAATTACGTAACAAAATAACACATTGCGTGCGCGTGAACAGCTTTACGATCTTTTTTCACTTTGAACGCTAAAGAGTTTTCTATAAATTTACTTATTTATCTCTATAGTAAACACAAACTAGTATTATCTCTGTAACACTTCATTTCACGTTTGTCATAGGGATGAAGTGAAGTCGTTCTTTAAAGTTTTTTTTTTATTTTTGAAGCCTTCTTTACAGTTTAATTTTTTCTTACATGTTGTGAACGATGTGTAACTAGAAAAACATACAACAATAATTCCAATGCAATTTCACTTGACATTTTAGTAAATTTCTAAAACCATTTATCAAATCATTAATTCGTACGTTTCAAAAAAGTAGTACACATGTCTATCATTAAAATTCATGCTTTATATTTAATGAACACACTTATTTTTTTCATTAAATCTCTAGTAAATGCAGTCTAGTGAAGTAACCTTTGCACCTTGTCGTAAAAATTAATGAATTTTTGAAAAATAATGTTATTCGCTAATTTCTCATAAATAAACATTGAATTCGTGTTATTTTTACCTTATTTGTTAAGTAATTATTAATCATCATCATCATCATTTCAGCCAAAAGACGCCCACTGCTGAACACAGGCCTCCCTCAAAGAATACCAGAACGATCTGTCCTCCGCCAATTATTAATAATAAGTAATTTTTATAAGTATTTACTTAAACAACAGCTATTCATTTAAACAGGAGGCTTATCAAAATAATTTAAGAAATAGGTAAATTAGTGCACGTCGTTTCAAGGTTACTTTGTACATTTTTATGAACTGTCATAAGGATCATCCCAGACTCTTTTTAGTACAGCTTCAATATACCAAACGTTTCCGGAAAGTTCAAACGCAATTTCCACTTCTGTCATTGTCGTTTTTCTCACCTAATTCTCAGTACACACCACAACCCAAGTTCATGTTAGTTTCTTAACTTAATTATGATTTGCTACTTAACATAATACTCAAAAACTAGACAGATAATCATCACCCCTTCGTGTTGCCGCAACATTGAAATTTTCGATTCTCCGATAAACGTACAAAACTGACCTTTTTGTTATTAGGCATAAATAGAACTAAGGATACCGATTCAATCAAACCAGAAAGAGCAATTCAACAACGTCATTTCGGTTGAAAAAGGTATTTAATCAACGTTACAACTTCGACCCTAAAGCTGTTCCGAAATCCTGGCGCCAGGATCAGTTCATTATAATGGTGCCTAAATAAACAAACAACTTCTATCCTTTGCCTTCCCAAATAAATTAGTTCGATGGACACAGCTCAACCGGCACTCCTCGCTCGCGAACGCCCGCGACATCCCCGGCGACGTCACCGGCCCTCTAATTGATGCGGGATGTGATCGCGGCCTAAAACGACCCATTCACTACCTGCTTGGCAGCCCGCCGCGCAGGAAGGAGACTGCTCACACAATATCCTGCATGTGGCCCAGGTACAGAGACTCGCAGGGCGCATTGAAGGATTGCAGCATGGTTTGCACGCTGCGACTATATTTATAATCCTGCAACACGCGGCGGACGGCTAGGCGGACTGCAATGCGGGATAATGGATTTTAAGCCACTGTAACGTTCGCAAACTTTTTTATAATGCCTCTGATCCATTTTTTTTACTGTGATTTCGTTCAAGATCACCAACGACATTTTTCCTGTAGCTTCTCGACAGCATGTAAATGGCAAGAGATTGTGTTATCTATGACACAGAATAACTAAGAGGTGGAACTATAAACCTTATTCTTTCACTTGCAAATTCGATTTTCCCTACCTACGGGCAACGATAGTCGACAAAACACAGCGACGCCATCTTTAAGTATCAATTAACTGATTAATTTGCCGTATTGGATCACACTTACTGTGACCAGCGACGACGACGTAACTGCGAAACGAATTATCTCCGGGAACTAGCCAATTTAACCCCACTACGTCCACTAAGGTCCAATCTAAATAAGCCAATTACACCCTGCGATATGGTAGCACCTGTGGCAATTCGTAGCACAGTACCAAAGCACGCACAGCTAGTTGTTCGATAACTAACAGAAGATTATAAATAGATGTATGAAAGTATAACTATTTGAAAAACAAAATTTGGGCAATTCAGCTGCCTAAATCCGATGCATGACGTACAATCATGTTCACGACCTCAACCAGCTGTACCAAAATAGGTGCTATGGTCCCACCTAACTATGTTCTTTCATGATCGGGAGTCGGGACTGACTGACGGAGAGGGGAAGATAGGTTCGCGGATCGATCTGTGAGGACATAAGACGAGTACGTGATATGACTAGCTGTCGACGAATTCTGCCACTGACGATTGGGAAAGTGATCATCCCACAATCTGTTTTAGTGACCGGCATACTGTAAATAATGTACTGTAATAAAAATTCAAGTTGTTCGTATCAAAATGTTCACAATATCACGAAAAATGTTTTAGAAGCCACAACCAACAATTTCCGCGGTCGGACTAAAGTAGTACATTAACGTGGCGCCCTGTGTTATGAATATGCCAGTGGTGTCAAATGGCATACAGTGCGCCCCTTGCACGCGTATGTGTTTCTAAGCATAGAGCCGTCAGGCTCCAATCTAGCCTCGTGAATAGAGAATGAGCTGTGCGGGGAACTGTCTATGCGATCCGGGAAAATTTGGCGAAAAAATGTTACGTTGAAAGTAAAATTTGGTAAAGTAACAGTGTTATTAATATTATAAGTGCGAAAGTGAGATTTTAGGGCGGTGTGTTGATTACGCAATCAAATGTACTCAAGCAATGATCACGAAGCTTGAAACTTACTAATCGCCTGTGGATTATAACAATGAGAATGTGCTTTTTATCTCGGTTGACAGGAGAACCCTCTAACAGCTTATTAGTTAGACATAGCGTAGTAAAAGCACGATTAATGTGCGATTGTTCCCCTTGGGCACCTGTTGCGGACGAGCCCGCGTCGGCGTCGGCGTGTCGTCACGACGATTGCTTAGTAAGCCAGGTAAGATAGTATTGATAGGTATCTCGGGCGTTGCCAAAAGTTCGTGTTGTTAGTAAAATGGATTACTCCCTAATTAGCGACAGGTACAATGCAATTTGGCAGCTTCGACGTGAGGAAGAAATGCTACGCACAATCAGTTCCACGAAACAATGGAGCATAAGAACCGTGAAATATATTTGTCATCAACAATACTGAAAAAAATTGAAATAAACAAGGTGCTGTTTCAAATTATAACGTAACTTGTGTCCATCCCAGCCTATCGAGCACAATGGTTGGTGCAACGATTTTAAGTAATGAATTAAATCATGGGATTGCTTCGATTAAGAATTCGACAATGAAGACTTGATTGGAATCCGTAATTTCTTCCAGCGCACAGACAGCCCGCGGCGTCGCCGATCGTCGCGGGTACAGCGAGCAACAGGTGGCCACAGGCCGACAGCCAGTTTCCCTCGACGTGATATTTTCCTCCGTCACGATTCATTTTATTTGTTGTACCTACGAGTTCGCGAGGCGATACTCGCGATCTATGGCTATTAAGAACACGAGTGTGAACTTTGCAGATTAATAATAATGTCTGTCAGGTAACAAAAAGTAGGCGTTGTAGCTTTTAATAACAATAATAATAATTCATTTAAGATCATTGATCCACTTTGTTAGTAACAATTAAAAACTGAGGACTATGTTAGTAAATTACACTTAATAAAATAATTAAAATAGAAATACTTAAAAATAAATAATAGAGATTAACAGTAGGTATGCGGAATTAGACTTCATCATCACCAAGAAGGGCTGGTGACATGAATTCTGATCAAATGGCACAATACCGGACACGCTATATCCTCCGATATGGTGTTCAGAAGGCTGTCACCGCTGCCACGCATCCCGCTCATGGTCGACGAAATGCGTTTCCGTACAACTGCGTCAAAACCGTCGGTACGCGCCTCCGCAAACATGCCGGACGCACTACAGAACGGGGGCAGCCGCAACAGCATTCTAAAAGTGTTATTATGGACCTTCAGGGTATTGAAGGATTTCTGCGTATAATTAACCCACAGGCCGCAGGTGCACAGTGTCTGGCAGTAGGCCTTAAAAAGAGTTACTTTGCCCTCATTCGCAAACCTGCGAGCCAACACATTGCACCTCACCGTCAATGCCCCTCCCTATCCAGCTCTGAGTTATCTGTTAGCTTTTCCTATTATAATATTCCTTGTGTTCAAAATCTGAATAAACAATAATAATACTCCACTATGCTTACGAATATATTCAAATGTGTACCTACCTACCAAAAATATGCTATTACTATTTGGGTACGTATTTTAGAACCTAGTGTCTCTCAAGGGCTGAAGATCAATTATTATTATTATTATTATTCCTAAGGTGACTTATTGAGGGCCTTCACAACCTTTGCTCACTAATGACATATCGATCCAAAGGTCAACACAATTAAAGAACTGAATGATGATGATTATTACGTCTTTGGCATACCCTTGGCATGCCCTTGGGCCAGGAGCGCGTTTCCTATGCCCTTTAGAATGTAACTTTGGCTTAGGAGGCGCAGACTTGGCTTGAGGTTTGACTTGCGCTGGCCTATGTACGATCAATATGGAAAATAACCTTTTGTTAATTCTAATATTGATTGTAATGACTATGACGATGTTTTACTTCAACGATATAATTTATTTTTTGTGAATTACTCCTAAACTAAATCTGTAGCTCGGTCGGCATAGACGCAGGCTCGAGTCCTGTCGAATGCAAGACATTTTTATTTGCGTTCGATCTTTGTATTACTAATTGTAATTTATTAATTCTCGCACCAAATTATTGTGAACAGTAACATGAAAGTACCAATTAATTCCCAAAAGTACAGGTAGCAACAAAGGATTGACGCAGTTATAACGTTTCAATTCTAATTGGAACTTGCGTATTTTTACCACGGGTCTCCTTTAAAGAGAGGGTTCATCTTCGTACGTCGTCATCATCTACGTACGGCAAATGTAGCGAAGCTTCTTTCAAGCGCAAGTTTTATTACGATGTTTTGCTACAAAACATTCATAGATGTACGCAGCATACAAATTAATAAAGGGTACAAGGGTTCGAACCATGAACGTCACTATTGAGAAGCAACCGTTCTTCCACTAGGCTACCATCGCTTTGTATCCTCTGTATTGATTTGCTTAAATTAACATACACATTTGAAGATTTGCATGGAGGAAACCACGCGTTGAACATTAACTGGCGCAGCGCGCGGCGTTGCCTGCATACTAATTAGCGCATTCAACGTCTACAATTTTGCGGAAAAATAACAGGAAAATATATAATAAATGCATTTTATTTCTTTTGTCTTTGTTGTCCGCGATCTAATGCCTTCCCTGTATTGGGGAGGTATCAGGATATTCCAATTGAATGTTCGAAGGTTTGGTTCCATATTGAAAACAACTACAGCTTATCTGTCAGTATCTATTAACCTACTACTGGTTCATATGTGTGTTTTTTTTTTGACGAATTAAACCTTCGGACTTTTATTCGGTCATAAATGTGTCTCAACGTTGTGTGGCTTGCTCGCCATGTCATGGTTTGCAATCGACTCAATAACAACATTAAAGCAGCAATAAATATAAGTAAACTTTTTAAATTTTTCTTAAAAGAAGATATTATGCCATATTTGATTAAACTTCGTAAATTTTTCACAAATAGAAAACAAAGAACAGAAAAATCTATCGTTTAATTCATTGGATGCTGCCAATAGACAAAGTGTTCTTTCTATTTAGCCTTTTTTAAATAATACTGCTATACTGCTTACCATAATTTCATTAATAAACACGGGTTTGTGCTATATATATATATAGCATTCGGCACTGGCATGATTCTTGTTTGTGGACCATTAACATTTCAAAACCACGACGAAACGTGATGGGACTCGTATGCAGTCGCATTTTTGATAAAATACGAGCGAACACAAAACACAAATGATGAATTGAACATCCGTGTACAACGCACAACACGTGTCATCGCATTGTTACCCTGTAGGTACGTGTACGCTGCGTAGAAACACTAACTCTGTACATCAATGAGTATGTAGTGCAGTATTCAATCAAATGAAACATGAATGAAACAAACATCGTGGACAAGCAATCTATCTAAGGGTCGCTTTTATTGCTGCGGACTTCCGTTGCGACGGCCTATTTCTTTTTTTAATATATAATATACACACGCTTGGCCACAATCTCACCTGATGTTAAGCGACGATGTGACCGACAATGGGACGCGTTTGCCTAAAAAATGCCTATTCACTCTAGCCTTGAATGGCCCCAAATTGTACTTTTCGGGAAATACAGATGTCAGTAGAATATTCCATTCCTTTGCCGTACGCATCAGAAAGGAGAAATCAAAGCACTCAGTGCGAATACGTGGAATATCAACGACATAAGAAGTCGACCGAAGAAGGAACGGTGAGGTTA